TGAATGGCTCCGGAATTTCTTAGAGGACATTCCATTCTGGCCCGAACCTGTGGGACTTATTTGCATACATTGTGATAGTCAAGCAGCAATAGGTAGGGCAGGGAGCATTATGTACAACGAGAAGTCTCGTCATATACGACGGAGACATAATACCGTAAGATAACTCCTCTCTAGTGGAATTATCACAATTGACTATGTGAAGTCAAGTGATAATGTGTCAGATCCACTAACGAAAGGCCTAGTGAGAGAGACAGTTGAAAGATCATCTAAGGGAATGGGTTTACGGCTTAGGATAAGTCAGCAGAGCGATAACTCTATCTAGCAGACTGGAGATCCCAAGAGCTATATTCAAGGAGAAAAACAAAGTTGTAACTGACGGTTTGAAATTGTCAATCAACTCAATCCATTCTCATGATGAAGAAAATGTTCAGGAACAAGGTTAAGACTTTAAGGCTTGTTAATGAGTTAATAAAGCTTAAAGTTTTTAATGATTTGCTAATTTTGGCAGATTTGACCAAATAATGTATCTACGAGATGACATGGTTAGAAATCACATATGTGAGTGTGAAGTGTAAGCCGCTTCAAAGAGAATTTTTATGTCAAAAGCTTATCTTTATACACTCATGAAACCAGGAGGTGTTCATGGCTGAAACGAACACAACCGTAAGAACCATAAACGGTAAAGGGTTAATTGTGTGACATATGGTTGTCTAGGTATACACCAAAGCTTGACGGTTCAAGATATCGCATCTACCGATTGACCGAGTATATCCGACATATGTTCACTACGGAAAGTCCAAGGGGAAACCTACTTATCCAGATGCAATTGATTCTTGCTTATTAAGTGCACACTCGTCCGTGCATTCCTTATGTTATAACCATTCCCCATTAATGTGGGGGATTGTTGGGTATGTAGCAAGAGTTAATGGGAAATGGAGGGAAGATGAAAGAGGAACTTGAAAAAGTTAGGAACTTGAAAAGTTGAGAACTTGAAAAGTCCTCTTATGCTTTATTGAAAAGACATTTGTCCCTCATCGGTGGTGGAAAGAAAAATAGGAGATTTTAAATATAGAAACACTCATATTAATTGTTAAAAGGGTTGGAAAGAGGGACCCCACTTGCGCCGTCGTCATCGTCGCTCGCTCGGCTCGACTTCGGCTTCGGCTTTGGATTTGGATTTGGAAAATCGATCGAGAGATTATTTTTTGGACAAAGTTTGTTTTAATTATTTTAGTTAATTAATTAAATTAAATGGCCAACGTTTTAATTCGTTAATTAATCGATTCAATTAATTGACCCGACCCGACTCGGATCCACGCGCGACTTATTTTATTTAAATCTTTCCCATTTTTATTTTAATTTCCCGCCGTTGGAAGTGACTGTTCTGAAAGGTTGCAACTTTCAGAAACAGCCATGACCGTTTGAAAGGTTGCAAACTTTCATGAATGGTCGTGTGGATTCTGAAAGGATTGCAACCTTTCGGAACCAGTTCCTCTTGCCTATAAATACATTGATTCTTCAGACTTATTCCTTACGAATTTTTCTAATTTCTTCTTCTTCTGCACAAAATTTCTTCGTGTACTTTACTGTTGTTGAGTGGTTCGCTGACACTAGAGTTTTGGGTATCAATACACTGGTGATTGAGATCATTATATCCTGGGAGGACATATTCCAAATCAAACGTCGGATACTAGAGGGGAATAATTTCCTTAAGGGGACACTATGCATTCAGTGGGCTTGATCTTTTCTGATTCTGATTTTCCAGATTGTGGTACATTTTTTTTACAGATTTTAGTTTTGTCAATTAATTTATGTTCATCTATTCCTACTGGTTTATTAAACTTTGGTTACTTCGTGTTTCTGCAAAGTTTATTGAAATCAGTAATTCTTGTTTTTAAACACAGATTGATAACACAAGTGACATTTCACATTGATTGTGTTTTCTCCATCCTCTAACACACTTCATCTTCACCCGACCACTTATAGCCTTCATCCCCACCTCCCATATTATTTGTCTAGATTATATACAAATACTTGAAGAATAGTATATATATTTTTTACATATAATATCAAACACAAGAAAATAAGTAAGAAATTCATTTATTTTCCTAGGAAAACAATTTCTAAGAAAATATATGTCTTCATATCTAACACATCTTGGGTACCCTAGGTGAGCCAAATCCTAAAAATAATTAATTAGTTGAGTGACCACTTAAAAGAGAACACGTGTCAATCAAATAAATATGATCCTCTTGATTATTATTGACTAGACACATGTTAAAATTTCAAGGCTAGGAAAATGGAGAAATTTTGGTATTTTAGGTGAGCCAAATCCTAAAAGTGTAATAAATTGAGTGTCCACATATACATTTTCCCTATCTTCATCGTTTTTTAATTGGGAAAATTGTATAAAATAGTAAATTATTAATTAAAATTAAATGTTATAACTACAGTTTCATTTAATTTTAATCCGTAGCAAACACTTTGACATTCGCCTCTCTCCCCAGATATCTCACTCGCCACTCTCTCTTATGCCTCTCTCACTTTATACAAACACAAATGTATAAATTGTGTTTGTGTTTGTATAAAGCGAGAGAATTGTATATACAAATATAAATACATATATTTTCGTTCGCCTCCCTCCCAAGATATCTCGCTCGCCACTCTCCTGATCTCGTTCACCACTCTCTCTCTCTCTTACCTCTCTCGCTTTATACAAACACAAATGTATAAATTGTGTGTGTGTGTGTATAAAGCGAGAGAAAACTGTATATACAAATACAAATACATATCTTTTTATCCTATACACTTATACTTATACAATACAAATCATTCCCTATCCAATTCTCTTTTGTTTTTCTCTCTTTCTCGCTTCATACAAACACAGATTATACAAAAATATATATATGTGTATACAGATTCCAAATATATACTTATACAATTGATTCTTTTGTATAAGTATACCGAAATATACATATTAATAGTCATAGCAAACATAAAGTTTGCTATGGAGCGCAATTATGCAAATTATAACTATAGAATACAAATATAATTTTTATGTTTGCTAAACCTAAAATTTACTCTTTTAAATTTGCATGAGCATGCAAAATTCCATTGTAAAAGATAAATTTATAACTAAATTAAAATCTAATTAAACACAAATGAATTAACACTGTTGGTAATATGTTGTACAAATAGTGGTAATGTTTTATACTAGCTAGCTTCTCACATCTAATTGAAATCTATATAAATACTACAAATTCTCAAACATTTTTTCACCACTTTATTTTCACAACTTATAATTGCTATTTTGAGAAGAAGAAAATATGGGTTTGAAAGGAAAGTTAACTGTTGCAATGGAGGCGAAGTGTGGAGGACACTCGATCCATGATATAATGCACACCAATACGCATCGTATACCAACTATTAGTCCTGCAGGTATCAACCGATTTGAGATTCATGAAGGTGAAACCATAAAGATTGGTTCAGTTGTAAGCTGGCATTATAATGATGGTAACACATATTTTTCTATGTTCTCTCTCACACACAATCAATCAAATATGATTTACTTGCATTAATTTTTCATGTTATATTTATATATATTTGGTAGTATAAAAGTTATTTTTGATGAAAATGATATTCATAAAAAAAAAATTAATGATGTTTGATTACCACATATATTCCACGGAAAGCCTTTTGCTTCCACCAAAGAAAAAATAACTTCTTTCACTTGTTGGGGATAGAATTTTTTAAATATAAATTACCTTAACTTTAAAATTTATTATTTGCTCCAACTAACACTGAGACATTATTTACTAATATTTAGTTACTTTAAAGATTTGTCAAATTAAGTTATTATTATTATTATTAGTCGTTAAAAGTGTGTAAGTTTTAGGTAATATATGATTTCACCAATCAAATACTAAAATTGTTTTTGTACAAAAATCTCTTTTTTTTCGAGAAAATATTACTTTTGTTATACCAAACATAAATAATTAAATCAAAATTATAATTTTCTTTCTAATTTTCATATTCTCCATAGTGTCAACTCTTCTTTTGAGATTTTGAAATATAACTTTATTCCAAAAAAATAGACCATCCAATATTCATGAGCATTAAAGAATTTTTGGAGAAAATAGAAGTGGAAAACTAGGGGAAAAATCAAATAATATAAAGATATTATTTTGTAATTCTTTAAGTCTATCCTGAGGAATTAAGGAGTTGAACTAAGAGTAACTTCTCTTATATTATTTAATGATTACAGATGGACAGAAAAAGATTATGAAGCAAATTATTGAAGCCATCGATCCACATAAGAAATCAAGTTGTTGGAAAGTTATTGAAGGAGACGTGTTGGAGATGTATAGTTCTTTTACGTATTTAATATCTTTTGAACCCCAGTGGTCAATATGGACAATTGAGTACGAAAAAAAAACAGAAGACACCCCCGAGCCCCTGATTGAATTGGGTATTTCTATTGACATGATTAAGGATATAGAGAGTCACCTTTTCAAAAATTAGGGATATATATAAAGTTTGTTGTGTGTGTGTCTTTACACATACATAATCTATGTGTGTTTGTGTCTGTATGATGAATAATTGGCAAGTTTTAGCCATTCGTGTAAAATAAATATTATTGTATGTGTTTGAATAACATATTTTATATGTTAATCCATATCTATGGATATGTTGTATGTGTAAGATATTACGTACTTAGTTAAAATAATTCAAGCTCTCTTTTATTTTTAAAGCTTCAAATTATGTTTTGAGAACTTGTATTAGTCAACAATACCATTTGAGATTTCTTAGCATGGCAAGTAATTGATTATTTATTACATTGTCGAAGATTTGCTTTGTGAGAATAAATCACTATGTTGGCAAGTAGGGATCTCAATGAATCTTTAAAAACAGACTATATATATCAAACCTATTAAGTTTTAAAACAAATTTAACTACTCCCTCCATTTTTTTTTATATGTCATCCTTATTATAAATAGTTGGTCCATAATACTCATTTCATAAAATCAATGCATAAATTACAATATTTTTCCTATTTTATCCTTGTGAGTTATTAACCTTGAAAATATACATTTGACAAACATTGAAAAACTAAGAAAATAACTCATGTCCATTAATCAAATTAATTAGTCGAAATAAATTAATTCATATTCATTGGTTGAAAACTTGATTTCAAAAAAAAAATTAATAAGGGTAGAATAGTAAACTTACTTAGTTTTATGCATGTGAAATTTAAAATGGTGACATATAAATAGGGACGGATGGAGTATATTAAAGTAATTAAGGTCGATTCATAATTTTACAAAAATAAATCAGAAAATATGAAACCGTATCGAATTATTTCGATTTAAAAATATGTCATTTACAATAAGTCTAAAAATAACAAACTATTATTCTCTTTTCTTGGCCTTGGAAGTTGGAATTATGGAAACACCTACAAGCCAACAAGTAACTACTAATATACAAAGTCTTCACTTTCATATTTTATTATGTTAATCCAATTGAAACTAAATTAGATCCAACATCTTAAGTAATAAATCCCAAAATATTTCAGCATCTTTAGTAAAAAGCCATAAGTTATCATAGATATTTTCTCTGTTATTATTAAGATTTCTTTTGGTGGATACATAGTTTTCTTATATAATTTACTTTAAAGTTCAATTTGATTAATATCTTTTCACTTGTTGTAACGACCTGATTCCGTCGTTAAGGAAAAATCAATGAAGAAAGAATTGGGGCCAGAAAACTTTTTCGTAGTAACTTGGAATTTTCCAACCTAGTCCAAATTTGGACGAAATCGGAGTCATTAAGGTGTAGAAAAATATGGTAATTAATGAGAGATCTAATTATGATTTGGACCGCATGAGTAGATAGCCAAGACGTTAAGGAACCCGTACGACTTTACGGAATCGAATTTGGGCAGGTAGAACTCCTGAAAATTATCTTAGCGTGAACAAGTAACATTTTGTCTCCGTGTAGGCCGCCAGAGCGGGGCCGTTGTAGCGGGATGGGTCCGTTGTGGCAGGCCAGACACGACTTAAAGTAGTTAATAAACCCCTAAACGACCTTATTTGGCACTTTTCAATTTTTAGAGCTAAGGAGACGACCCCGACTTCTTGACCGTTTTTCACCATTCTTGAGGCTAAAGGTAAGGTTTTAACTCCCCAAATCCATTTTTCGATCCGTAGAACGTAATCTAGTCGGTCATTATCATTGGGGGAGGGTTTTGATCTAGAATTTATGGTGGAAAAAGCCCTAAATTGGGTATTAAGATCTTGGGTTTGGTCTAGGGTTATTGGGTTTGTTATAATTCGGATAATTAGACCTTTGATTGTTGATCCTTGCATATAAATTTTTGTTTGTAGACCTAGAACAAGCGGAAAGAATCCGAAAAGGGAAGATTCAAGTGCCTTAGGGGATTCAAGCTTGTATTCGAGGTAGGTGATGATTGTGATTCTATGATTGTGTGATGTATGTTTATTCTTGCTTCATTATGAAACATGTATGTATGCGAATGTTGCATTATTGATCACACTTGTTGTAAATGAGGATAATTGAATAATTGTATGTCATGAATCACCTCTTGTTGTATGATTGTGAGAATATACATTGTGATTGTGATTGTGGTTTGTTGAATGGGCGGGTGTCACGATCTGACACACTAACTTGGATCGGATTGCCACGTTTTGGCATAAATATGGGATCGGCTGCCACGTTTCGGCATAACTAACTTGGATCAGATTGCCACGTTCTGGCATAAATCTGGGATCAGATTGCCACGTTCCGGCATGATAACTGTTTGGGTTTGGGTTCCATGAGAGGACCATTGAATTGTGTTGTGTATCTACTTGTGATGAGTTCGTTCATATCTAATGATGATTGATATTGGAAGACGGTATGTTGCTCTAAATTGATATAACTGTGATATGTGAGAATCTTTAAGTTGTTCATTGTTCGTATATATTGATGATATCGTATATGTTCGATATGTGCATGTGATTATATTGTTGTATTAACTAATGTATGTTACACTTAGTGGGATAGCCGCGTGATCCTACTAGTACACGGTGGTTGTGTACTGATACTGCACTTGCTCTTTCTTTGTTGAGTACAGGGCATCTTTAGGTGGCTATTGATAGACCTCAGCTAGATGACTATGAGCGTGACCAGATTCAAGGGTGAGCCAGTTCTTTCAGGCTGCCATGGATCTTCCTTGTTTAAGTCCACTCTTTTCAGACTCAAACTTTTGTTTAAGGTGTTGTTTAGTTTCGGGGTTGTACCCCTTGTTCTTACACTTGTCGTTAGTAGAGTTTTGGTACATTGACTTTCAGGTTCTAGCTAGGTTAATTCTTCCGCATTTGTTAGTTATTGTTGAACTTTTGTTAGAGTTTATGAAAACTCTATTTTCTTTTCTTAGTATTTGACTTATATGCCTTAGTTTTTAGATTGATTGCTTGGTTTGGGTTGTAGTAGTGGTTCTCCCACTGAATTGTTAGTGTGGGTGTCAATCATGACGATCTGGGTCGTGAGACTTGTGCATTTAATTTATACATGTAATGACCCAATATCTTCTAATTTAATGATAATGACTCAATATTTTCCAATATAATGACGTGTGTAAAACACGTTTACTAAACTACTCTATATTATATTAAAAACATGTAGGTTTTTAGAAAATATTGATTGAATTTTTTAACCCTTCATTAAAAGACTTCTGCAGTAAATGAAAATGTCATTTAATATTCCTCAAATTAATTAATTATTTTTATAATATGCCTAAAATATGATTGAGCACGAAAAGAAAGTTGAAGACACCTCAGAACCTCTCCTTGAATTGATATTAATAGAAGACATTTTTGTTCAATTTAACATAGTTTAAGGACATTTTAACTTATCTACGTTCAACAAATGACATTTCATATTGATTGTATCTTCTTTACCCTCTAACACGCCTCATCTTCACCCCCACCAGTCGTAGCCTCCATTCACATCTTTCATATTATTTGTCTAGGTTATATATAAATACTTGAAGAATAATACTTTTTTACGTATTTACCGATTATAAAAAAAATAAGTAAAAAACTTATTTATTTTCCAAAAAAAAAAAACAATTTCTAAAAAAATATTTGTTTTCATACCTAACACATCATGGGTATCGAAGGTGAGACAAATCTTTTTTTTTTAAAAAAGTAAGTGACCACTTAAGACATACCACGTGTCAATCAAATAAATTTGATCCTCTTGATTATTGAAGCATGTTAAAATTTCAAGGTTAGGAAAATGGAGAATTTTTGTATTTGAGGTGGCCAAGTCTCAAAAGTGTAATAAATTTGAGTGTGTCCACTTATTTATATCTACTAAGCTAAAATTTAATCAAACACAAATAACTTAATATTGTTAGTAATATATGATGCAGCTATGTGGTGGATAATGTTTTCTATATAAAGACTACAAGTTCTAAACATTTTCTTACCATTTTCTTTTCACAACTTATAATTGTTAATTCAAGAAGAAGTGAAATATGGATGTGAGACGAAAGTTGATTGCTTCAATGGAGGTAAAGTGTGGAGGACACTCAATTTTTGATATCTTACATATCAATAAACATCATATACCCATAATAAGTCGTGTTATCAACCAATTTGAAATTCATAAAGGTGAAATCGTAAAGATTAACTTGATTGTTAGCTTGAATAATAACGAGGATACCACACTCTCTCTTTCTCTTTCTCTCTCAATCAATTAATATGATTTACTTGCGTCAATATATTTTATATATATTTGTGTGTATTTGGTAGCATAAAAGTTGTTTTTCACCAAAAATAATCTTCACAAAAAGTTTTTTAATGGTGTTTGATTACCATATATATTCGGTATAAATTATAATACATAAATGTATCCTTCAACTTGGCTTTAGTTGACATCTATGTCCTCCAACTTTGAGTGTGTACGAATAGACACTTAAATTTGTATAAAATTGAACAAATAGACACAATTGTCTTTTATGACGTCCTACATGACATCCTACCTGTATTATGCCACGTACGACGTGTGTGTCTACTTGTTCAATTTTACACTAAAAGTTTAAGTGTCTACATGTATATACCCAAAGTTGAAGAACATAAATGTCAACAAAAATAAAATTAAAAAACACATTTATATATTATACTTATACATTCTGAGGAAAGGAAAATAACTACTTTCACTTGTGGGGGAAGTGATTTCTAAATTGAAATTATCTTAATTAACTTTAAATTTAATTTTATTACACTTTTGAGATTTGAGATGTATAATTCTTTTATAATAGTGACATCTAGTCTTCAGTGGGCTACATAGATAATTAATTATGAAAAGAAAACTGAAGACACCTCAGAGCTCCTCATTGGATAAAGTCTTATCCTTGACACGAACAATGATTTAAAGGATCACCATTTCAAGAATTAAAAGATCTATGTTATATACATATATACACCATAGGTCTTTTAATTCTTGAAAAGGTGACCCTCTAATAGATGTTTCAAGTTACGACCAAAGGGTGAATACAAGTTGTAGTAATTTATATACCATGATTATTTTCATTGTAGATCGCATACCAAACGAACCCTAAGTATGACATCGCAATTTTCTCTCTCAGTATATATGTATGTATATGTACATATATACTGACAACTTGCCCAAAAATCTTAGCACAGTTTAAACTATTAACTAGT